TTGCAGGTAGTCTTTGTATATATACAAAACCTGGACAGGGAATATATGTATTAATGTAGTGAAGTAATTTTATTGATATCTCCGTAAATTACAAATTTTTGTTCTAGGGATGTCTATGAACCTTATTATTTCATTTTAACTTGTATTATTTAATATATTTATTTTAATTTTCATTAATGATTTTTGATTAGTGATTTTAATTTACTATTCTGTTTAATATATAGTCATTATTTCATTGATTTAAGTTATCAAATTTATTGATTTTGAGCTTCTCTGTCCCATCACAAGGGAAAGAGGGTAACGTGGGGACCCAAAGGGGGGATAAAAAGTCAAGGGTCATGGCAGGCAAATCAGTGGAAAAATGTGAACACATTGTCAAATACATTGTCATTACTTGATAGTAAAAATTAGATCACAAAAAAGAAGACCCTAGTCAACAGAATACCCAATGCAGACAGAAAGAACCCATGCAACAGAACGATCCCAAGCAAACAGAAGACTCCACTGCCAACGAAAGACCACAAGCAACATTCCGAACCCAACGCAACAGAAGACCCTACCACACGCAGAACCCCAGCAACAGAAGACCCAATGCAACATTCAGAAGTCCCAAGCAACAGAAAGACCCCATGCAACAGATGACCCAATGCAACAGACGACCCATCCAACTGTTTACAACCAAGTAACAGAAGACCCTAGCAACTAGAAGACCCTCAGCAACAGAAGAACCCAGGCAACAGAAGACCCGTGCAACATAGATAGACGCCAAGCAACAGAAGACCCATGCAACAGAAGACCCATGCAACAGAAGACCCAGCAACAGAAGACCCCAGCAACAGAAGACCCATAGCAACAGAAGACCCATGCATCAGAAGACCCCATGCAACAGAAGACCCAAGCAACAGGAAACCCTATTAACAGAAGACCCAGCAACAGAAGACCCAACCAACAGAAGACCCCTAGAACAAATAGACACAAATGCAACCAGAAACACCAAGCAACAAAGACGTCCATATACCAACAGAAGACCGATGCATGGGGGGGGGGGGGGGGGGGGGGGGGGGGGGGGGGGGGGGGGGGGGGGGGGGGGGGGGGGGTTGGGGGGAGGGGGGGGGGGGGTGGGACACAGATTAGACCCTAGCAACAGAGAGACCCAAGCAACAGAAGACCCAGCAACAGTAAACCCAAACATCAAAGACACCTAGCAACAGAAGACCCAATCCACAGAAGACCCTAGAACAGATATACAAGAGGGGCTTAAATAGATAGATCCCTTGCAACAGAAGAACCTAGCATCTGAAGACCCAATGCAACAGAGGACCCTATTAAAAGAAAACTGAGCAAAAGAAGACCCAAGCAACATAAGATCCTAGCAACAGAAGACCCCTAGCAATAGAAGACCCAAGCAAATGAAGGACACGACAACAGAAGACCCAAGTCAACAGAAGAACCTAGCAACAGAAGACCCATCCAACAGAAGATACCCGAGCATACAGAAGACCCTAGCAACAGAAGACCCCTAGCAACAGAAGACCAATGCAAACATACGATAAATGACCATTGTAACACGAACATGAGGCACTTTTTGATATGACAATGAGAATCTATATGAGAAGGAGAAATGTTTTATGCTCCCTGAAAAAATGACAAAGGTCTGGGATCTCTGCTTTAATTCAGACAGAATAGACCTGTTTTATTGTTGAAAGGTAGACACACAAACAAGGATGTTACTAAATGCAAGTTGAAATAATACAGCGGAGGAAGGAGGGTTCCTCCATTCAGCAGTTTGCCCCAGTGTCTTGTAGCTTCACCTTGAATAAACAAAAACAAGGAACAAGACAAGAAGACCCAAGCAACAGAAGACCCAAGAAGACCCATGCAACAGACCCAAGCAACAGAAGACCCATGCAACAGAAGACCCCTAGCAACAGAAGACCCAAGCAACAGAAGACCCAAGCAACAGAAGACCCAAGCAACAGAAGACCCATAGCAACAGAAGACCCAAGCAACAGAAAGACCCTAGCAACAGAAGACCCAAGCAACAGAAGACCCAAGCAACAGAAGACCCATGCAACAGAAGACCCTAGCAAGACCCAACAGAAGACCCAAGCAACAGAAGACCCAGCAACAGAAGACCCATGCAACAGAAGAAACCCATGCAACAAACCCTAGCAACAGAAGACCCAAGCAAACAGAAGACCCAGCAACAGAAGACCCTAGCAACAGAAGACCCTAGCAACAGAAGACCCAGCAAGCAACAGAAGACCCAGCACAACAGAAGACCCTAGCAACAGAAGACCCTAGCAACAGAAAAGCAACAGAAGACCCAGCAACAGAAGACCCTAGCAACAGAAGACCCATGCAACAGAAGACCCAAGCAACAGAAGACCCTACAACAGAAGACCCAGCAACAGAAGACCCATGCAACAGAAGACCCTACAGAAGACCCTAGCAACAGAAGACCCTAGCAACAGAACCCCCAAGCAACAGAAGACCCAAGCAACAGAAGACCCTAGCAACAGAAGACCCAAGCAACAGAAGACCCCATCAACAGAAGACCCTAGCAACAGAAGACCCATGCAACAGAAGACCCAAGCAACAGAAGACCCTACAACAGAAGACCGATACAACAGAAGACCCTAGCAACAGAAGACCCAAGCAACAGAAGATCCGTGAACCAGAAGACCCTAGCAACAGAAGACCCAAGCAACAGAAGACCCGTGAACAGAAGACCCCTAGCAACAGAAGACCCTAGCAACAGAAGACCCAAGCAACAGAAGACCCTGAAACAGAAGACCCTAGCAACAGAAGACCCTAGCAAAGAAGACCCTAGCAACAGAAGACCCAAGCAACAGAAACCCAGCAACAGAAGACCCAAGCAACAGAAGACCCTAGCAACAGAAGACCCTAGCAACAGAAGACCCATGCAACAGAAGACCCTAGCAACAGAAGACCCATGCAGCAGAAGACCCATGCAACAGAAGACCCATGCAACAGAAGACCCATGCAACAGAAGACCCAAGCAACAGAAGACCCTAGCAACAGAAGACCCAAGCAACAGAAGACCCAAGCAACAGAAGACCCTAGCAACAGAAAGACCCTAGCAACAGAAGACCCAAGCAACAGAAGACCCTATGCAACAGAAGACCCTAGCAACAGAAGACCCTAGCAACAGAAGACCCTAGCAAAGAAGAAGACCCATGCAACAGAAGACCCATAGCAACAGAAGACCCTAGCAACAGAAGACCCAAGCAACAGAAGACCCATGCAACAGAAGACCCAGCAACAGAAGACCCAAGCAACAGAAGACCCAAGCAACAGAAGACCCAAGCAACAGAAGACCCAGCAACAGAAGACCCAGCAACAGAAGACCCATGCAACAGAAGACCCTAGCAACAGAAGACCCATGCAACAGAAGACCCAGCAACAGAAGACCCAGCAACAGAAGACCCAGCAACAGAAGACCCAAGCAACAGAAGACCCAGCAACAGAAGACCCAACAACAGAAGACCCAAGCAAGAGACCAGCAACAGAAGACCCAACAAACCAGCAACAGAAGACCCTAGCAACAGAAGACCCTAGCAACAGAAGACCCATAGCAACAGAAGACCCTAGCAAACAGAAGAAGACCCAAGCAACAGAAGACCCATGCAACAGAAGACCCATGCAACAGAAGACCCAAGCAACAGAAGACCCATGCAACAGAAGACCCTAGCAACAGAAGACCCAAGCAACAGAAGACCCATGCAACAGAAGACCCAGCAACAGAAGACCCATGCAACAGAAGACCCTAGCAACAGAAGACCCTAGCAACAGAAGACCCATGCAACAGAAGACCCTAGCAACAGAAGACCCATGCAACCAGAAGAACCCTGCAACAGAAGACCCAGCAACAGAAGACCCTAGCAACAGAAACCCATAGCAACAGAAGACCCATGCAACAGAAGACCCTAGCAACAGAAGACCCAAGCAACAGAAGACCCATGCAACAGAAGACCCTAGCAACAGACAGAGAACCTAGCAACAGAAGACCCATGCAACAGAAGACCCAGCAACAGAAGACCCAGCAACAGAAGACCCTAGCAACAGAAGACCCAAGCAACAGAAGACCCTAGCAACAGAAGACCCAAGAACCCTGCAACAGAAGACCCAGCAACAGAAGACCCAAGACTGCAACAGAAGACCCTAGCAACAGAAGACCCAAGCAACAGAAGACCCTGCAACAGAAGACCCTAGCAACAGAAGACCCAGCAACAGAAGACCCTAAACAGAAGACCCTAGCAACAGAAGACCCAAAACAGAAGACCCTAGCAACAGAAGACCCTAGCAACAGAAGACCCAGCAACAGAAGACCCTAGCAACAGAAGACCCTAGCAACAGAAGACCCATGCAACAGAAGACCCTGCAAACAGAAGACCCAGCAACAGAAGACCCTAGCAACAGAAGACCAGCAACAGAGACCCTAGCAACAGAAGACCCAGCAACAGAAGACCCAAGCAACAGAAGACCCAGCAACAGAAGACCCAGCAACAGAAGACCCTAGCAACAGAAGACCCTAGCAACAGAAGACCCTAGCAACAGAAGACCCTAGCAACAGAAGACCCATGCAACAGAAGACCCATGCAACAGAAGACCCAGCAACAGAAGACCCTAGCAACAGAAGACCCAGCAACAGAAGACCCAAGCAACAGAAGACCCTAGCAACAGAAGACCCTAGCAACAGAAGACCCAAGCAACAGAAGACCCATGCAACAGAAGACCCTAGCAACAGAAGACCCTAGCAACAGAAGACCCTAGCAACAGAAGACCCATGCAACAGAAGACCCAGCAACAGAAGACCCAGCAACGAGCCAGAAGACCTAGCAACAGAAGACCCAGCAACAGAAGACCCATGCAACAGAAGACCCATGCAACAGAAGACCCAGCAACAGAAGACCCAGCAACAGAAGACCCAGCAACAGAAGACCCAGCAACAGAAGACCCAGCAACAGAAGACCCAAGCAACAGAAGACCCAGCAACAGAAACCTAGCAACAGAAGACCCAAGCAACAGAAGACCCAAGCAACAGAAGACCCTAGCAACAGAAGACCCTAGCAACAGAAGACCCAGCAACAGAAGACCCTAGCAACAGAAGACCCTAGCAACAGAAGACCCAGCAACAGAAGACCCTAGCAACAGAAGACCCTAGCAACAGAAGACCCAAGCAACAGAAGACCCAAGCAACAGAAGACCCAGCAACAGAAGACCCTAGCAACAGAAGACCCTAGCAACAGAAGACCCAGCAACAGAAGACCCTAGCAACAGAAGACCCTAGCAACAGAAGACCCTAGCAACAGAAGACCCTAGCAACAGAAGACCCTAGCAACAGAAGACCCAAGCAACAGAAGACCCTAGCAACAGAAGACCCTAGCAACAGAAGACCCTAGCAACAGAAGACCCTAGCAACAGAAGACCCAAGCAACAGAAGACCCAGCAACAGAAGACCCAAGCAACAGAAGACCCATGCAACAGAAGACCCTAGCAACAGAAGACCCAAGCAACAGAAGACCCTAGCAACAGAAGACCCAAGCAACAGAAGACCCCATCAACAGAAGACCCAAGCAACAGAAGACCCTAGCAACAGAAGACCCTAGTAACAGAAGACCCATGCAACAGAAGACCCATGCAACAGAAGACCCATGCAACAGAAGACCCAAGCAACAGAAGACCCTAGCAACAGAAGACCCTAGCAACAGAAGACCCAAGCAACAGAAGACCCATGCAACAGAAGACCCTAGCAACAGAAGACCCAAGCAACAGAAGACCCAGCAACAGAAGACCCATGCAACAGAAGACCCAGCAACAGAAGACCCAAGCAACAGAAGACCCAGCAACAGAAGACCCAAGCAACAGAAGACCCATGCAACAGAAGACCCTAACAACAGAAGACCCAAGCAACAGAAGACCCATGCAACAGAAGACCCTAGCAACAGAAGACCCATGCAACAGAAGACCCAAGCAACAGAAGACCCAAGAACAGAAGACCAGCAACAGAAGACCCTAGCAACAGAAGACCCAAGCAACAGAAGACCCATGCAACAGAAACCCTAGCAACAGAAGACCCATGCAACAGAAGACCCTAGCAACAGAAGACCCAGCAACAGAAGACCCAGCAACAGAAGACCCAACCCCAAGCAACAGAAGACCCAGCAACAGAAGACCCTAGCAACAGAAGACCCATGCAACAGAAGACCCATGCAACAGAAGACCCTAGCAACAGAAGACCCTAGCAACAGAAGACCCAGCAACAGAAGACCCTAGCAACAGAAGACCCATGCAACAGAAGACCCATGCAACAGAAGACCCAGCAACAGAGACCCAGCAACAGAAACCCTAGCAACAGAAGACCCATGCAACAGAAGACCCATGCAACAGAAGACCCATGCAACAGAAGACCCAAGCAACAGAAGACCCTAGCAACAGAAGACCCAAGCAACAGAAAACCCCATCAACAGAAGACCCTAGCAACAGAAGACCCATGCAACAGAAGACCCAAGCAACAGAAGACCCTACCAACAGAAGACCCATGCAACAGAAGACCCTAGCAACAGAAGACCCAAGCAACAGAAGACCCATGCAACAGAAGACCCTAGCAACAGAAGACCCAAGCAACAGAAGACCCTAGCAACAGAAGACCCTAGCAACAGAAGACCCAAGCAACAGAAGACCCTAGCAACAGAAGACCCTAGCAACAGAAGACCCTAGCAACAGAAGACCCTAGCAACAGGAGACCCAATTAACAGAAGAGACCCTAGCAACAGAAGACCCTAGCAACAGAAGACCCAAGCAACAGAAGACCGTGAAACAGAAGACCCTAGCAACAGAAGACCCAATTAAAAGAAGATCCGTGAAACAGAAGACCCTAGCAACAGAAGACCCTAGCAAAAGAAGACCCTAGCAACAGAAGACCCAAGCAACAGAAGACCCAAGCAACAGAAGACCCTAGCAACAGAAGACCCTAGCAACAGAAGACCCTAGCAACAGAAGACCTATGCAACGGAAGACCCTAGCAACAGAAGACCCTAGCAACAGAAGACCCATGCAACAGAAGACCCATGCAACAGAAGACCCATGCAACAGAAGACCCAAGCAACAGAAGACCCTAGCAAAAGAAGACCCAAGCAACAGAAGACCCAAGCAACAGAAGACCCTAGCAACAGAAGACCCTAGCAACAGAAGACCCAAGCAATAGAAGACGCATGCAACAGAAGACCCTAGCAACAGAAGACCCTAGCAACAGAAGACCAAAGCAGCAGAAGACCCATGCAACAGAAGACCCAAGCAACAGAAGACCCTAGCAACAGAAGACCCAAGTAACAGAAGACCCATGCAAAAGAAGACCCATGCATCAGAAGACCCAAGCAACAGAAGACCCATGCAACAGAAGACCCTAGCAACAGAAGACCCATGCAACAGAAGACCCATGCAACAGAAGACCCTAGCAACAGAATCAGAATCAGAATCAGAATCAGAATCAGAATCATTTTTATTGCCAACGTAAGTAACGGGAGGTCACAGACTTGGAAATTGCTTTGGCTCAGTGCAACAGTCAAAAAGAGATAATAAAAATAAGAATAAAAAACACTTCTAAAGAATAAATTTAAATTTAAAATAGAGTTACAGTTACTATTTACAATATACAAGTGCACATGGTGCACACAATGTAAGGTGACAGCAGTACAGTGAAGTAAAGTGACGTATGATGGGCAGTAAAGTGACTTTATAAAGGGCGGGGGGACAGGTTAAGAAGTGTTCAAGAGTCCAACAGCAGAGGGGAAGAAACTGTTCTTGTGGCGGGAGGTTCTAGTCCTGATGGACCGCAGCCTCCTGCCTGAGGGGAGTGGTTGGAATAGTCCATGTGCAGGGTGAGAGGGGTCGGCTGTGATACGACCAGCCCGGCCTCGAGCTCGGGCGACGTACAGGTCCTGCAGCGATGGAAGGCTGCGGCCGATCACTTCCTCTGCAGAGCGCACAATGCGCTGTAGTCTCTGTTTGTCCCTGACTGTGGCTCCAGCGAACCACACGGTGATGGAGGAGGTGAGGATGGACTCGATGATGGCCGTGTAGAACTGCACCAACATCTGTGCAGGCAGCTTGGCTTTCCTGAGCTGCCGCAGGAAGTACATCCTCTGCTGGGCCTTCTTGATGAGAGAGCTGATGGTCGGCTCCCACTTGAGGTCCTGGGTGATGGTGGTGCCCAGGAAACGGAAGGACTCCACAGAGGTGATGGGGGAGTCCATCACGGAGGGTGGGGGCGGGGGGACAGTGCTCTTCCTGAAGTCCACAATCATCTCCACTGTCTTCTGGGCGTTCAGCTCCAGGTTGTTACCACTGCACCAGGACACCAGCCGGTCCACCTCCCTCCTGTAGGCGGACTCATCGTTGTTGGAGATGAGTCCAATGAGGGTGGTGTCGTCCGCGAACTTGATCAGCTTCACGGAGTCGTGGCTGGAGGTGCAGTGGTTGGTGTACAGGGAGAAGAGCAGGGGAGAAAGAACACAGCCCTGTGGGGCTCCTGTATTTATAATCCGAGAGTCCGAGACATTCTTCCCCAGACGCACTCGCTGCTTCCTGTCCGTCAGGAAGTCAGTGATCCACCTGCAGGTGGAATCGGGCACGTTGAGCTGGGAGAGCTTGTCCTGGAGCAGGGATGGCAGGATTGTGTTGAAGGCAGAGCTGAAGTCCACGAACAGGACCCTGGCGTAGGTCCCCGGGGAGTCCAGGTGCTGTAGGATGTGGTGGAGGGCCAGGTTAATGGCGTCGTCTACAGATCTGTTGGCTCTGTAGGCGAACTGCAGGGGCTCCAGGAGGGGGGAGGTGAGGGACTTGAGATGGGAGAGAACCAGGCGTTCAAATGACTTCATGACGACAGACGTAAGTGCTACAGGTCTGTAGTCATTGAGTCCTGTGATCCTGGGCTTCTTCGGGACGGGGACAATGATGGAGGATTTGAAGCAGGCCGGGACATGGCAGGACTGCAGAGAGGAGTTGAAAATGTCCGTGAACACAGGAGTAAGCTCACTGGCGCAGTGTCTCAGAGTGGCCGGAGACACGTGGTCCGGGCCAGGAGCTTTGCGGGGGTGCAGCCTCAGGAAGAGTTGTTTAATCTCTTTAGCGGCTATTGTTAGGCTGGGGGCCGGGCTGATGGGTGGGTCGTTAGAGTAGTGGGGGGTGGGGGAGGGAGAGGTGTCAGGGGCAGCATCAAAGCGACTGAAAAATAAGTTCAGATCGTCAGCTAGCTTGTGGTCATCAGCACAGGGGGGGGCTTTGGGTTTGTAGTTGGTGATCTCCCGTAGGCCCCTCCAGACAGAAGCAGTATCGTTGTTACCAAACTGCTCCTGTAGTCGTTCTCTGTGCCGGGACTTGGCTGCTTTCAGTTCTTTCCTGAACTGATATTTAGCTGCTTTGTAGCCGCTGCGGTCCCCCTCCCTGAAAGCAGACTCCTTTGCTTTCCTGAGCTGCCGGAGTTTAGCAGTGAACCAGGGTTTGTCGTTGTTATAGATGACCCTGGTCCTTGTTGGAATGATGCTATCCTCACAGAAGTGGATGTATGACGTTACAGTGTCCGTATATTCATCCAAACTATCTGTGGCAGCTCTGAAAAGGTCCCAGTCTGTAGACTCCATGCATGCGCGCAGCTCTTCCACAGCTTCATCAGACCACACTTTGGAGCTCCTCACTGCAGGTTTCGAGAGCTTTAGTCTCTGTCTGTAAGCAGGAACCAGATGTATCATGGAGTGATCTGAGAAGCCGAGGGCTGGCTTGGGAACAGCGCGAAAAGCTCCGCGCACGGTGGTGTAACAGTGATCCAAAGTGTTCTCCTCTCTGGTCGGGCATTTGATAAACTGTCTGTATTTGGGTAATTCCTGGCTCAAGTTTCCCTTATTAAAATCCCCCAGGATAATAATCAGAGAGTCCGGGTATAAGCGTTCCATACACAGTACTTGCTCTGCGAGTGCGCGCTGAGCCTCGCGCGCGTCCGCGCATGGCGGTATGTAAACAGAGGCAAGAATGAATGAAACAATTTCCCGCGGGGAGTAATATGGTTTACAATGAATGAAAAGATATTCCAGAGCAGGAGAGCAG